TGTGTTGTGCCTGTGCTCACTGGCCACTGGTCACCAGCTGCAGTCTACTGCTGCCCTCGGCCGATGCTTAGCAACACGTTCATGATGCATTGCCTGACTGAGTATATCTAGCGCTGGTTGGATATTTTTAAAATTCCTCACCGACAAGTGTAGTTTGCATCACTATGATTTCCTTCACCGTAAGAACGTCGGACGGAATGGTACATTGTACATCTATGTGGATATCTGTCCGTTTCAGCCGCGGTTCAAAGGCGTGGGAATTCAATGTATCTACTAGAACTAAATAAAAATGATGGTCGCAAGTTTTGTAGAAGAGGCTTCCGGTTGTTGAGCCGAGTTGCCGCCCGCCCGCCTACGGGCACATTTGTCCCGACGAGTGCCCGGCTTCATACACACTCTATTTTACTAAATCGCGTTAAGGGGTCTACGTCCGACTGTAAATAACTGCTAATTTATACAGTCCCATCTGTATGACGGAAGTTAAAAGTTGACCACTTAGGAAAAAATAATTTTTGAAGGGATCGGCGGTATTAAAAGTGTAGAGATTTTAGTTGAAGAAGTGCTCATAGTGAGGTAAAGCTTTTCTTTAATATGATGACAGATAAAAGCTTGTAATAAACATTGAAAGTCGGTTTAATTTCGGATTTAGTTAGTTGCAAATAATATGAAAAAAAAAAACTAATGGCTTACAATAGCAGTCTAGACGGGAAATCCGTACAGAGTTTTGTACATATATATGAGTATTTTACTTAGATAATAAGTTGCGTTATTGAATGTAATCTTTTCAAAGGAAAATTCATTCAAGGAGTTCATTGGTAAAACAAAATCTAATCAATTAAAATATGTCTTTTTTACATTTCGTGTACATGATATATTTGCTTTACTCATAACAATTAAAACTATATATTTTTGTTTGTCAAGTCCGTGTTTGTTTCGGCTAATCTCTGAAGCGTCTAATCATTTTTTTTTACAAAGCTTTAGTGATATATAGAAAATATGTACTCGCTGAATTAATAGAAATTATATAGAAGAGAAAGAAAAAGTCGAAAACAATGAGTTTTTTGTTCAATTGTGTTACCAAAATAAAGTGTGTAGAAATGAAGCTACAATAAAACCTGCTATAAATAGATCAATTAACAAGAAAGATGTGACAGATAGTTGTGAGGAAGCATTGATTGCATATGAAACGATTGATCGGATCGTTAATGTGAAGACTGCATCTTTGTGTGACTTATGGTTAGGCCGCAGAACGCTGAGCTCTGAGCCCGAGAACTTTAGCACATCGTAACTTCCGACGTCGACGTACAGGCGGTTGCCGCTTCGGT